TTTTTTTTTTTTTTTTTTTTTTGACAATTGCATTTGAAAATAAATTTTGCACTTGGAGAATCGAATTGCACGGATCGGCATTCTGCGAGCGTTTTTGGCAGCGGAATGAAATATATCGAAAGCGTACGCCGTTGTTCGTTCCTCTCGATTTACTCACTAAGTGGAGATAATAACGAACTTGGATCCACGCAGAATCCAACGAATGCGTGAAAGAACTCCAAAATCTCCGATATCGGTTGTTCCCGCACCATTGATCTCAGGAACCTGGAGAACTGTTTCGAACTGTTCCGATGCAACTTGCTGAGAATCGTTTGGCCCTGAGATCGACAGAAATCGGCTTGTGGTCCGCGTATTCCGTCCGAGCAGCTGTGTGGGCATCCTAAATGCTTTATCACCCTGATCACGCAATTCATGACGAGATTGTGAGATAAATATTTGGACTCTTCCGACAGATCTTCTCGGTACTCTTGCTCGTTCTCTGGAGAATCTTTCTTCTTTCCACTTTCCGTTCTTTCCACCACCGTCGCAGATTCTAACAAAACATTCGATTGTGATAACGAAAACTATCAGGTAAAGAAATAAATGTAAGACCTTTACGTAACGTCTTGTATTATATTACAAAACAGGGATCGAAATTAATAGGTTCTCTTCGAATTTCTATATTTCGTACAATGAAATATCTGTTTTCTATGTTCGGAATAATACTTTTGAATAGCGTTCTCGTGAAACAGATATTTCAGAATACTTGATTAGAAGTCCATTTTACTATTCATTGAATGGTTCAGTGTCAGTTATAAATATTGAAAACATTTTTAATATTGATGAACAATTATCATTTTTGAAAATTTTTATTTTCCTATTCTGTCTGAAACTTTCATCTTTAAGAATATTTATTCATCTGTCCTCATCGGCACGTTTTTTCGAAAAAGTTCTACGATCCATATTTCAAATTGAATCTGTTTAGCTTTTTGAAAAATAGTTTTCACTTACCTGCTATACTACCGGTTGTTTCGTCACGAAAACATTGTTTCATCACTCCCATATCTATCAAAAGTTCCATTAAATTTAATATATTTTCACATACTCGTAAGGTGCAACAATTGCTATCCCTCAAGGCAACTGAATGTACAGCCTGGTAAAAGATCAAGAATAAATAAATAAACGTTGTAGAATATATTTAATAAAAGTAGTGGGGTTCATTGGTAATACCAACTTTTAGAACAACCTGCAGATCGATGTCACCTTCTTTGGTGATGTAACAACAGGAACCGGGTGCTTCCGGTATTTCGTCGCTGGCATAAGTAATATTCGAATCCGTCTGCGATCGTGTAAGACTGGGTTTCCTTTCAGAATCTAAACGATTACCGTGCATACTGATAACGTCTAATTGACTATCAATTGAACCCTGTAAAAAAGCAATTTAATTACCATAATTTGGCAATTTAATCTTGTAATTTTAGTTACATCAGTAATTGCAATTTAACTTTAATTACTATAATTTCGTTATTTATAATATATGTGTCATTTCAGTTATCAATAATTTTCAAATAACAATTTCAATAATTCAATAACAATATCAATAATTTTAAATAATAATTTCAATAACAATTGAACATCAAGTAAAATAAAAGTAACAGTAAATCCACACTTACGATCGTAATGAAGTGACTTACCTGTCGCTTCATGTAATCTGGCGATGGAGTAGGCGTGTGTTCCGTGACAGTGATGATAGGGTTTGGCGCGGTGTACGATTGATTATAAAATCGACTTTGTTTCCTCTCAATACGAGTATCGCCGACGTACCTGCGAGATATGATTGATCAGAAGGTCGACACACTGTGGATATACTCGATCAATTCTCTCCATGCCATCGGACACTGTGAGTCCTAGCCAAGCACTACGGTCTGATCTCTAAGGTTCTTATCTACTTCAGTGCGCTTGCCATTCCACGTTGCATGCTCGGTGTGCTTCTCAATTATATTTTACTGTGTACGATTCTTCGGTCTTGATATTGTGAAATTGAACACTTTCGTGACTTAAGTACGCGTGACTGAAGAATATAGGGTGATTTGCCGAAGAAGAACTTTTGTACACAAGACCTTTTGTGTACAAGGTACGATGGAACTCGTGATACAATCGATGAGAATTGAAATAAAGATGTCAAACTACGGAAGAATAATTTTACAACCAAAATCTGATAAATTTGATAAACAAGCCTGTTATAACGGTATATGTATATATAGAGTGCATTTTAGTGTTCGAACTTTGCCAGTGTTACTTGTTTATACATAGATAAAAATAAGACTAAAATATCATGTAGCAAAACGTCTGATGAATGCTCCATTAAAAAGTTATAATAAAAATATAAAATGTGATAAATATAAGATGCGAGATAAAGTAAGATGTGTAATATTTATGCTACAAGATTGATACAAGATTTATTCGTTCTTTTTAAAACTCATTATTGAAACTCTTTTCAGAATACAAAAATATTTCACGAGATGAATCAAAACTACAAGAAAATATTTGACAATATCAATATGAAATTCAATAGCTGCGATACTAACTTTGCATCGGAGAAGACGATACTTCAGCTATATAGCTTATACGTTTCATATTTTTGTTAGAACTTTTTAACGAAGCATTCGTGGACTTTTTACTACATGGTATTTCAGTTTTATACCTATAGAAAACATACCTGGCAAAGTATGAATATTAAAATATGGGACACATTGTATAAATATAGGTATATCATCTTGTTGGTTGTATCACAAATTAAATTCTAAGCTATAATACATTACAAGGTCCGAAACATATACATTTGCACGATTTCTAGTAGCAAATAGAAATTTAAATTCTTAGTGAACCTATTCTATGATAATATTTGTAATATTGTTAGCTGTAAATATCGCATGTACAATATTCAGTCAGCGAATAAGATTTTGGTGAAATTCTACGCGTATGTAATAAAATAAGACTGAAAGGTCAAAGGTAAAGAAATTACGAATAAAGTATTGTTCTTTAGACATGCAACTTCGAGATTTATAAAATAAAAGATACGAAAATGATTTTGTACAAAGCATAGACCGTTGTAATACATTCGACGGAAACGCGATTAAAATTATCCCGATTTGTGTATCAATATCATAATTTTCCCGCCAAAGGTTGTGCATTTAAAAGTTAACGCTTAAACGTAACTAAGTGTCGTATTAAATTGCAATTTAATTGGATTTGGTCGATGGATATCATCACCAAAGTTATGATCGATCAATGATTCTCAATATCGTAATTGTTGCTTCACGTGAAATTAAGCGCGAGAAACCATGTGTTCACGGTATTCGTTGTCTCTGGTTAACGTGCCAAGGCGGCTAGGGCGTGGTGTGTGTTTAAAGGATAATTGTGCGCCCTACCGGAAGCAGGAAGCTCGTAAAAGAAGCGTGTAAACCGAGCTGCAGTACGGAACTTCCTCCGAGTGACGTTGATGACTTACCCTCCCGCGGTCAGCTCGTTAATCAAGCAGCTGAGTACGAGTTCAGGGGTGAAAAGGCGAACGAGAGAGAGAAGAGAGAGAGACACACAGAGAAACACATTACGCATAAGTTTTTAACCAACGGCTTATCAAATTACGCAGAATAAACAAAACTGTGTTACGAATGAAACTAGGCAAACTCTTTTTACCGGTGAGAATCGAAGTTCCCGTTCTGTTTTTCGACATACTTTTCTGCGCGATCGTTTCTTCGATTTATACCATCGTGAAGAATCTGCGTATTCATTAGAATAACATAGTTTTGGAAATCTATGAAAATTTAGATATGAACTGGAAAGTGACTGTCAGTGTTGGGTAACAAAAAAACTAGCTTCTCTTGAGATCTATTGAAGATTTGAAACAACGACACCAGAGCTAGAGATAACTATGCACTTGTAATTCTCTACGGAAACGTTTAATTGAAAACCTTGCTAGAAATTGAAGATGCCTGAGAATTGAATTTCGAAGTATGCTTGGAATGAAATATTATAACAATCGATAAGTTGAATGTAACTGCTAATCTTTTCTCTAATTCTATTATGATTTACGATCGTGCTAATAATAATTGCAAGAAACAATGAAAACAAGCGTAATACATCACTCATGTCTATAAATATTGTATTAGAAATTAGTTGTGAACAAAAAATAAAAGCGGCATTTATCTAAAATATCAAGACATTCTACATATGTTAATTATCTATCTCAATAGATTAAGTACTTCTAGATTAAATATAAAGTAGATACGCAAGATCTGTGTACTGAAATTTTACCTGGAAACTACGATCGTTGCTATTTTTGCATAATTCGTATCGTAACTCAATATATACAATACACGATATACTACCCAACACTGATTACAATCTACGTTCAAAGTGAAAAATTCTTTATCTAAGAGATGCTTGTTCCTTAGTATAGCATACAGTAGTTTAAACACATTATCTTGTCGTAAGAAAATTTCTTTCACTTTTATTGTTCAAGTCATTAACAACTTAACTAAAAGATTCATACTCACACACACACACATACACATAAATTATTGCAAAATTGAAATTAATAAGTTGAAGATTCGCAGAAAATTTGAGGCTGTGATGCGAGATAAGAAATCGTAATAAAAACATGTGTATGTGAGTAGGAATGAGCAAGAGAATGAACTTACAGTCGAAAAGATAGTATTAAACAGAATATTTCGATATACGTTTAATTTTACTTGCAGCCTTTGTTGCGTACCTTAAACTTGGCATGCTTTTTCCTTTGATTAAATTCGTTGGATGTTTCATATGATCGACGTCCCTCGCTTCAAAGATTTTCGAAGTTGTCGAAGCAGGCTTTGTCAA